GGTATTTTTTTTTTTTTTTTTTTTTTTTTTTTTTTTTTACACACAAAGGTATCATTAATGTGCTCTTTATTGCCAGTGCAATGCTGTAATAAATCATCCAGAGCCACAGCATTTATATTTCAGAACCTGATATCAAGATCATAAAGCTTCTAATTGAAACTTGTCTCTCCCTATACAAGGCTGGATATCAACTCTCCTTAAGAAAGAAATTTCAGTTTTTCATAAAGTATATATGATCAATTATACTTCCACAAATTAGTATTTAAAATAAAGAAAGGAATAATTTGCTTTTACTGAAGAAATATTCAAATTAAGGAACATTTGAGTGAAAATAATGAAGTTCCAGCATTATAAGACAATCTATGGCAGGAAAGCAGGTGAATCTTTACATCCCATGCAATTAATTTAGTTTTTCAACCCATTATCCCAATCAGTCTATTTCTATTTCTTTCCCGCTCACTGTATGCCAACTGGGAAAATGGCAAATCAAGATGGTTATGCTAAACTGATGGATAAAATTTTATTTATATATCTTTTATAGCACAGTATTATTCGTCTATTTTATTTGAGACAAATACAGATGTTTTTACATGATTTATGTAAGTATCAGAGGGAAGACTACCATAAAGCTCCTAATAGCTCATTAATAGTAAAAAAAAAAAAAAAAAAAAAGTGTCTTCTGAAGTCATGAGAATAGTACTAAAATCTTTTGTTAATTCTTACCTATGGTTCTGTTGCAAAGATAATGTCGCACACTGATATTGCCCAACTGGTTTGGCATCACCTGGTTCACCTGAAGGCAGACTTGTGTGTCTTCACCTCTGATGTCAATTTCACCATTAATGTCAAACATTTTAAAAACTACAACGGACATCTATCAACAGATACACAAAAATAAAATACCAGATAAGTTTACAAATCAAGCATTTAATAGTTATTTTTCAAATATAACCATAATATAGAAAGCTCACCTTAAAAAGTTATAAAAGGAAATTGCTATCAATGCAATGCTACAATCAAGCATAATTTTGCAGTTGAAGTTTTTTTTATTATTATTATTAAATTTCCCCTCAGGAAAGAGATCCTCAGACACACAAGAGTGTTATTCTTTCCTTTTTTCTCACAATCAGCTCTACACCAAACTAATCAATGTTTGCTCACTGAGGCTAGGCACAGAAATTCACATAAACCAATATAAGTGAAGAGAAACCAGATCAAACCTGTAAAGGAACAATGCACATAAATGACTTTCAAATGGCCAAAACCAATTTAAGATAAGCTTGGATGGATATAGTATCAGACTTAACTGATTTAGGTGACAGAGGTCTATGGAACTTCTCAGATCCCTGCAAAACTCAGATTAAGTCACAGCCATTTGGCATCCCAAGTGCCTTTGCGGGGAGGTGGGTTGGAACACAGCTTGCTGCTCTTGGCCAGCCTAGCAGGCCCCTCACCTGAGCTCCCAAAGAGCCAAAACTAGGCTTGGCTCCAGCCAGTGAGCAAGTGGCTTGAGCACAGAGGTGAAGGAAACATAGGCAGGGCATCCCTAGGGACTAGACCCATTTGCTGCTCCCTGCCCACCTCCTCACCAGTGAGCAAGCAGTCTGAGCACGGAGGCAGGGCTTTCCTCGGGGACCAGACCCTAGGGCTGGAGGTGGGCAGGGGGGAAATGGACCCCCACCCTTTGCCTGGCCCTGCCCCTCCACTGAGATCTGCC